AGAGTCACTGAGAGGACAATACTTCTCTTGTGTGGGGCTCTGTTGAGGACACATGGGCCTAGAGTCACTGAGAGGACAATACTTCTCTTGTGTGGGGCTCTGTTGAGGACACAGGGGCCTAGAGTCACTGAGAGGACAATGCTTCTCTTGTGTGGGGCTCTGTTGAGGACACAGGGGCCTAGAGTCACTGAGAGGACAATACTTCTTGTGTGGGGCTCTGTTGAGGACACATGGGCCTAGAGTCACTGAGAGGACAATACTTCTCTTGTGTGGGGCTCTGTTGAGGACATAGGGGCCTAGAGTCACTGAGAGGACAATACTTCTCTTGTGTGGTTCTCTGTTGAGGACACAGGGGCCTAGAGTCACTGAGAGGACAATACTTCTCTTGTGTGGGGCTCTGTTGAGGACACAGGGGCCTAGAGTCACTGAGAGGACAATACTTCTCTTGTGTGACTCTGTGGAGGAAAATGGAAATTAAGAGCAATCTTTTCAAATTGACCTTATATATAGAGGTGTTTTAGAATTGACTTGTCTCAGTTTATCAGGGACTCTGCTGTCTTTGCTGCTAGTTGTGCCAATGTACTTTGTAACAATATATATCTATATCTCCGAGAAGCAAATTGACGTAATTACAATCGGAGTAGGACTCCAATATCTGGTAGAAAATCACTAAAGTTGTATGAGGAAGTAACTAACGTCTTACCCACTGGGTGATGTCATGCTCCCTAATCACCTCACATTGATTCCATCTCTTAGACTTAATTATGGAATTTGGCTTAGTATCAGGTCTTTTTAAGCAGTGTTAGTTAAAGATATTATAAATGTTTAGGTAATGTAAGATATTGGTCATATTTCTGTACATGAAATAGAACAGTCTGCCACATATTCTAGATTTTTGGCAACTTCTGTGAGGAGGTAGCACTGGCTATATAATTAGGACAGAAGATTGAGGTACAACAACTCCAGTGAGTATAGTACCAAGACAGAAGGTTGAAAAACCCTTTGTTTGTATTTTTCCAGGATTGTGTTGAAAGCCACATCCCTTTAAAACAGCTGTTCACTCACTCCCTGTACGACGACCAAAGTTATTTTATGATTAAAATCTCAATTGTGTATGTAAGGAAAGATAAACTGGCATCTAAAAATAAATGGCTTGATACATATTTGATGTGTTTAAGGATGACTTGTGTTCCTTTGATAAAGTAGACTGTAATTATTTTGACAAAATAAACCTGAATGATGTGATGATGCAGACCTGTGTAATGTACTAAAGCATCCTGTTGTATGTGTTCAACTTTGTTTCTTTTGCACCATGGAAACATTCTTTCATACACCAGGGAAATAAGATACTGTTTTTTCATTTAATTTGATCTCTTATATTTGCTTGGTGTCATCTCTCCGTATACTATTCTCTTGGTGCACTAGATCTTTCCTTTTTAACGGAAGTGTTTCCCGTTTTCCTGTTAAGAGTCATCGTAAAGACTGAAGTGTTATTTGTGAAGTGAGAGCAACACTCTTATAAACCATCAATTCTTGTCTCCTTCACTTGTCCTTATTGATTTTAATTCCAAATGATAAATACTTCAAATTTGAAATTGAAATCTTAAACCGCATTAATTGACAAAGACAAGGATAGATTAAATCTCTAGAAGTGAGTTGATGTAATCAATTTGGCACGGAGCAAATCAGTAGTTTTATTACTGCTAGAAATTCCTTTACCAATGACGGTCCTCCTTGGTACACACTGTGGTCCTCTTTACCAGGCTGTCTGTTCCTTATGTAAACACGGTGCCTGTGGGTTTTAGCTACATTAGTCTGATACCCAATCAATTATATCGTATTATGAAGTTATAAAAAGGCGTGCCCTAGTTATGTTATTACTCCCCTTTTCATTGGAAGTAATTCTTGGCATGGCAGAAAAAAACCATAGAAAGCATAGCAGTATGTATTTCAAAAGAAAACAGAATTACCAGTACTAATTGGCTAGGACAGGTATAAATTATGGGCCCACGGGTTTCTCACCTGGCCTTAGCGCAGGCATCATTCATTGTGGATTATTTATGTAAGAAAAATTTGTTTTCATGTACAAGTAAAAAGTGTAAAGGCTAATTGAACACACATGGAGGGGGAAGTAGAGGAGGAAAAGGGAGGGGGACTGACTGGAATGAAAACATATTAATTTTGCCTTCCTGGTTGGCTGAGGGAATCACAACCATCCTCATAGCCTGTGATCTGGCCGAGAGGAAGGAATCCACGATGTGGCTTCCTCTCCAGTCATCGGTTGCCATGACGATGGGGAGATTAACAGACACATATGCTGGTGCAGTCAGACTCTTGTAAGATAATATATTTTTTCCGTCATAGTAAGAATATTTCAGCATTATCTTTCACATTTCTTATACTTGATTTTTATGATTTACAAATGCAGAATTCTTGCGGGAAGATTGTTAAAAACTGGTCGGTTATCTGAAGTATTAATATCACCCTCTAGAAATGTAAATGACCACGTATTTAATGCATTACCCAGTGCTGGGTGAGGTAACATACTGGGGATCATTTTGTACATGTTTTCTTTATGCATTCAAAGAGACAGAAAACACATCTGGCCAGAGATAAACACAGAAGTCAGGGAGATGGTTACTCAAGTGTTTTTACATCTGGGTTTGGGGTCGCTTCCTATACACCTGTAGTCCATTCCTAAGCATTAGTAATTCTTCCTCTTCGTTGTTTCATGTTTTTGATTTTTTTCTCAAAAGCTTTTAAAACTGCCACTCTTTCAATGTGTAAGGGTCAGACTTTAACCATGCTGCAGATTAAATGTATTATGTGGCATAATTTAAATGTATATTTAACTTGGTTTAAATTTACATGTAAGATATCATAGTTTAGCTATGCTTGTATAAAACTGATATACACCATCATTGAAACATGCCATTGTCTTGGTATTTTTCCATTAATTGATTTGATCAATATTATTTATCAGGAAGTTTCATCCATTGTAGACAAACGGTTTTGTTTTGTAATCTTGAAGCTTATTAAATTCAGTGGATGAGCTAGGAAAATGTTAATGAAACCTATAGCATATGATACCAAAATAAAGACAGACATGCATTACAGTACTCTGAAGATACTCTGACTGAAATTATGTGCCACACCAGGTTCCCACGTCCCAAATATCATAAGAGGATTTTAAACACAAAGACATGTTGGTACAACTCCAGAAATGGCGAGGAATGGTTTAAGAATTTTAGGTCAGCTATTGGGAGTTGGAGGGCCATTCACCTCCAGACCAGTCTACTACTTCTTTTGATGTTTCTATAGTTAGGTCTGCTATTTTATCTATGACCAGAACAATCCTGCTTCTGTTGGGCTCCATCTTATCAGCCAGTTTTCTGTGGAGAAGGGCAGACGACAGGCTTTCTCGTGTATACATCTGATTAAAACCTCTCCACCTTTTTTATTTTGAAATTTGACAATTACTGTCCTTTAACAAAGTTTAATTGACAGTTTCCATAGTAACCGATTCCCAGGGTGGGGGGGAATACCCTTGTTGTGAAATATGACCCAGAGGGACTGGGAGACATGGGGTGTATTGGGAAGTAGATGTGTGATTTTTGAACAGATAAGTCATGTGGATGGACAGCAGACGAAAGAAAACAAGATAATTCACTGGGATATTTATGTTTTTGCTCAGGAAACATTTGTTTAAATGACAGATCTTAAGAATATTTCTCCTATTTATGTCAAAATTTTTACTAAATGGTCTTCTTAGTTCTTGTGTAGAGCTTTCAAAGTTTTGACTCCTAATCCATCACTGATCTGGTTACAGGTTACACTCCAACAAGTGGCCAGTTAATTACAGGTCATTAGAGGTCATTTCAGGTTGTAGGTCAGAATCAATGGCAAGGAACTAAGTGACATTTGTGAAAGTTCATTGACTTTTGTACAGGTCAATGTGCTATGATTACAGAATCCTGATTTTCTTATTTACTGAAACAATTTAACTAGCTATTGATGTTGACATCCGAAGACATGTTTCATTTTAAATGAACCATACATAAACAACGCTGCAGACAAGTGTTTCTTTCTACTCTATAAAATGTCACTACAGCCAGCGTCTTATCAAATTCCCAGTAATATATAGCAGAAATCGTAGATGTGAAGAAATGCTTGAAAGAAAAGCAGCAATACATTATTTAGAAAGGACTTTAATTTACAGAAAGCAAAAAACAAACATTTTACGGTAAGTAATATGAAAGAGCAACAGAATTAGAAGGTATTATCAGTAGTTTTGTGAATCAATCTCACTGCTTACACTGTCTGGTATCACTGCCCACATTATGGGTACATTTGTTACGTAAGACCCAACGTTTTTAATACCCAGAGCTTCGAATATCTTTGTGAGATTTCCCAGAATACCTAATAATCTATGATCCTTTCATTACACTGAGGTCCCGAGGGGTCGAGCAGGCTACAGCCCTCAACAATTATCCCTGGTCCTACATATTTCTCTGATTGGCCAAATTATTTCGGCTCTGTTGAATGTCTGAAAAAAGTTATCAGCCTAGTACCAGTAGAATTGATCCCCTGGGCACTCAAATTTTCCAGTACGATACAGCTTAGGTCATTCAGTCATTCTCAAACTCGCAGTGTAGACATTAAATAAAGCAGAGAAATCAAACCATTCTCTCCTGATATCAAATCTGTGTTATTTTTACCACTTTCATACCTCATTATCTCCATTAGAGGCAGCTTGTCTGAACTTCATCCGAGTCAACTTGTCTAATTGTTCAGACAACATCCGAGTCAACTTGTCTAATTGTTCAGACAACATCCGAGTCAACTTGTCTAAATTCCAAATAATTGTTGACAAATGTTGGAAAGTGTCTTACTGACATTTTACAAGAGTTAAAAAGAAAAGAAACAAATTTTAGAAAATTAATATGATCTGATCAATTTTTTTTTAAATTCATTTTGTTTATTTATTTTTTGTGTTTCAGGTTATATCAGCCATCGTCAAGGCGACCAGTAGCATTTTCAGCCAGTACCGAGATGGGTCTCACAGACATTGAAATGGCCCATGGTTTTGAGTATGATGATGCATATTTTGATGAGCGAGGATATGACATGGAATATGAGGTAAACAAATGAGCTTATCTTAGATCCAGAAAACAAAATTATACACAACACATGACAAAATTGTGAAATTATTGTAATAAACACTGTCAACCTGACGAGACCCGATACTTTGAAGTTGAGAATTTCTAAATGACAATTGAATAGATCACCTTAGATTAGGCTGGAATGTGTGTTTTATCATCTGGAGTTGAAGTTTTACTGTCTTAGAGCGTTAGGAAACCCAGAATAGTCGATAGTGGAAAGGTGATATCAGAATACAAATGTAACAGCAACATCTGCGAACCTGAGCGAACGGGATATCATAGAAACGTTTGCAAGGTAAACAATAAGTATAGAACTGGTAAAGCACCTTGCTAATGTCTGCATCAGGAGATGGATTCTGCATCTGAAGCACGTTTGTTTGGAATATTGTAGAAAATTGTTTTGTAATTTAGCTGTGATGAGAGGTAGAGGTAGGGAATCTGGATCACAAGCATGCTTGGAAGTCGTGTAAATACAGTGTTTTGTAACTTGGCCCAAGTGTACAGATGGTTTTCTGGTGTACGTTGATGTAACTGGAAGGGTGGCTGTCAGTCTATAATTCTGATCAGATGTCCTGCAGTTCATTACAGTCAAACTGACCACTACCCTGATGGTCAATCTTTCTGGCTGAACATGACAGACGGACCCCCTAAGCTTGTACTAATCATAAACATTTATATAGGGCTACATGGTCAAATTTTTACATCTTGCCCCTTATGACTCTTTGTGCCCCTTGTATGTATCTCCCTAGTGACAAGCATCTGCAAGAATATGATGAACAGAAACATAGTTGTCATCATGGAACATTGCTGAAATCACAGGACATGAAGATGTGTTGACTGAAGCATTGGTGAAGTGTGGTCACCATGGCTATCCATGATCAGGTCTATTATGTTGACTGGTCATCTAGACCCAGTTGTTGAGGGGTCTGCGAATGTTGGAGAGGGGTTAATGACAGATCATTATAGTAGCTGTCACCAATCTTCTCGTTACTTTCATTGGTCACTGCAGCTGTAGTCATGGGTCATACAGAGTTAGGATAGCCAGCTGGAAGAGGGTAGCACTTGTATCTAATTATACTGCTGGGAGCATAACCTGTAGAAAACTAGGGATAGAACATAGCCTGTACATAACTAGGGATAGGACATAACCTGTAGAAAACTAGGGATAGAACATAGCCTGTACATAACTAGGGATAGGACATAGCCTGTACATAACTAGGGATAGGACATAGCCTGTACATAACTAGGGATAGGACATAGCCTGTACATAACTAGGGATAGGACATAACCTGTACATAACTAGGGATAGGACATAACCTGTACATAACTAGGGATAGGACATAACCTGTACATAACTGGGGATAGGACATAACCTGTACATAACTGGGGATAGGACATAACCTGTACATAACTGGGGATAGGACATAACCTGTATATAAATAGATATAGTAGAACATAACATGTACTTAACTACGTTAAGTAGAACATAACCTGTACATAACTATGGTTAGTAGAACATAACCTGTAAATAACCAGTAATAGTAGAACATAACATGTACATAACTGGGGTTAGAAGGACTTAATCTCAGCAGGAGGGAGCAGGGTAACAACAAATTGATTTCCTACAGAATCTGTATTAGAAAGCTTCTACAGCAGACTAAGATTGGGTTATGTCTCATTGTCTATGTCTGTAAACAAGAACTTGGTAAAGACTTCAACATCCCTTAAACTCAATTTAAATTTTCAATCTTGGCAAGATCCTCCTTGTTTTTATGTGTGATATTTTAAGGTAGATATTTGTGTCGAAGATTTGTTGTTTCAATGTCTCCAGGAAGATTGGCTACATCTAAAGCAGGCATTTCTATTAAAAAGGACAAGTTTTAATCTAAACAAATTCATCACTCAATGTAAACAGAGCTGTGATGCCATTCAAGATGGTTTGTCAATCTTGTATATTTTAGATAGTTAATGTTGCTGGTTGTCCAATGTAAGCTTGGTTATTGATGTTATTTAGGAAAGCTGTTCCAACTTGTGGATCACTAGGGGTATGGAGGGTTTTCTAGTTAGAGTAATTTAAACACTGCATAATCTCAGCTGCAAAGGGCACCAGAGATTTCTTGTGACCAACATGGCCAACACCAGTTGCTTAGTAACATAGATTTCCTCTACTCTGCAGTAGACATGTGGGACTAAAAGACAATAATTGAATTAATTAATAAGATCAATACTTCATTTGGCCAGTTCATTGAACAATGGGTTGATGGACCATTTAGGCAGTTACAGCCAAAACGAACTCCTAAGGTTTCAAGTGACCGAGATCGTCCAGTGCAGGAGTCAATTAGATGCTTGGAAACCCAGACCAACATAATGGATATTGACAAACAGATGCTTTTGGGGTAATAGGAAATATACACAATTAGGCACCTACTGCATAATGATTTTTCAGCGGAAATAACCTTCAAATATATCAGTGTATCCCTCAGAGTATACACAATGGAAACATCTCTGTAACTCAATTCATCATGTCGATTATGAAAACTTTATTTATTAAAAAGGCTCTGAAGTTGTGATAAGAAGAAATGTAATATAGATTTATCACAATTTTGACAAGAATGTATTTGAAGGTCTTTATGGAGGTATCAAGCATTAGATGTATGGGGCTGTGATGGAGCTGATTGTAGGCATCTCCTAACAGATAGCTTCACAATAGTTGTACAGAAACATTAAACAAAGCATGGATTTGTCATTTTACAGTGGTGTGTTATTTTCACTGCCTGGAGTAGTGAATGAAGGTGAAGAACACCTCATGAGCAGGTTAGGAAAGATAATGTAACACTGGGGAATGATTTACTCATTTAAATGGATGCCCTGCCCCGTCTCTGATTTGTAACTGGATGAGATAGAAATGGATGGTGAAGCTGCATGCAGCCTATGGGCGAGATGGAAACTACATTTCGTGATTAAAACACAATTTATTGAATCAACACGTGCAGTATTTCAAAGCACATGCATTATGTGCTTTGCATGATCAGTTTTTAGTTGTTTGAGGTTGAAGGACTTGAAGGGATAAGGTATTGCTTGTAAAGGCTAGTTCAAGTGTGAGAATGATTTCATTTAAAACTCACCAATTGCTGATAGATTTGAACACAGCATTATGTTGACTTGTATTGATTTTAATCAAGTATGCCAGTTTTCATGAATCAAATGAAAAAAAGTTGATTGAAATTGAATTTTGTTCACAACCTTTATCATTTGATATTAGCCTGTTGAAACTCATATTGTATTGCTTTTTTTAAGACACAGAAAACCACTTTGAATTAATTGAGGTTTCCCTGAGAAAAACATCGAAGGAGATAAATTTGATGTAGTCATGTTTTAGATAAACAATGTTTACATCCAAATTCTTTCAAAATTAATTTATATTTTAAGTCTTTCTTTCCAAGGTTGGGTACTTATACTTTTAGTAATTTCAAATCAACAGATAAGCATTTTTAATCAAAACCTCGTATAGGAAGACGTTTTAAGTCCAGCAGAAATGATATTGGAAATGCTCAAATCTGAGCTTAAGTATTGGAAGCCATTTTATGTGAAAGAAGACTGCCTTGATCACTACAAAATCCTTCCACTGAAACACAGCAGACAGAATCATAAAACCACTGTCAGCCTGTGACCTTTTCAAATGTTCACTTTAAGATTTTAATGGTATAGAAGACATCCTGCCGAAAATGAAAACTTTGATGATTTTTGTTCTTCAAATTCTAATGCAAAGATATATACAAGTATTTATAGAATCCTGAGTCATTTCAATGCTTTGGTTTTACAAGATCTAAAAGATTCCAAGCAAACATACTAATGACCCAGACATTTAAGAAAGAATCAGAAAGGCTAAATTTGACATCAATCATTTTCAATACTTCAAAAGTATACCTTTCTGTCTGGGATTCTCCACTGACAATTCTGTCAGGGAGGCAACAGCTGACATGGGCAGAGCTGGGCCTATCAGACAGTCAGAAACACAAAGTGATAAAAAATCACATGTCGGAAATACTTCAACCTCGCTAGATTTTACAGAATTAGTAGTCATTATGTGATACTTGAAATAAAGTCTTTGTGTATTGAGAAGGATTTTAGAAAATAATTTAAGTTCAAAATCTACCAATCTAAATATTTCAGACAAGACTTAATACCTCATGGCATACCCTGGCCTTTAATGTCAGCCAGTTCTATCAATGGGACAGAATATTTCAGAAGTACTTCCAAATTAATTAGGATATGATCAGAAGTAAAATTTATGGAATGGGCAAGTTTCCATATAAAACAGCAGCAGGCGATAGTGTCTGTTGGAAACTGTGGTGTGTACACAAAGTTCAGCTTGTATTACTGCAAACTATTTCACATGAAACCGTTTTATTTTCTCTCTCTCTCTTTGGTTTTTTCTTTTTTTTTTCTTTTCAATATCAGAATTTTTGTATCAAAGGCAAACAGATAGATGTACAAGTCTATACTTTATAAGATAAGATATATTTATTCAAAATATTTGACAAGAAGATTCTAAAAGGTACCAACATATCTTTGAGTTATTTTATGTGTTATCACGGTAGACAAGATAAACTTGTAGGATATTCTGTATTTCTCTCCAGTAGTTACATATCAGTATAGATTATAGCACTTCTGCCAGTTAACACCCATTACATGCTACAAAAAATTGTGCTGATTTCATATAGATTTCTTCAAAGACTGAAATATAGAAAAGTTTAAAAGAAAGCAGGGTTTAAAGACCAGAACGAAAGTTTACATGGAATCTCAGTAAATCTGAACAGTTAAAAAAAAGGCAATAGAATAATGCGACTTGATGTGGTTGTGAAATCTAGAGTGAGATAGAAAGATAAGGCTGTAACTTAAGTGTGTTTTATGTAAAATGGCTGGAAGTTTAGGGTGACAAGTGGCATGGCAATTTCTGTCAGTCGCACTTAGAAATTACAGTAATTTACATGTGTTTGTGACTGACGTTTGACACAACAATTTTATAACGGCCCTTACCATTATGGAATTCACAAGTCATAAAAAATGCATTTCCTGGCCAGAAAAAGTAGAGAGTTATGTCACAGAATGATAAGCCAGTCTCCCAGCTGATAAATAATCGGATTTACATTGACAGTATCAAGAGTCACCATCTTGCCCAAGTCACCATTCTGTCAGGATGTGGCTGAGGCCACCATAGTGTCTGTGGTGGTTGTCAGGTGGCATAACTTTTGATGAGATTGATACAAAGTGGCAACCTATCAAAGATGAACGATTTATGATGGGTTAGCAATGAAGTTATACTTTAAGTCAGTTTCATTACACCATGGACATTTGTCAAAACAATCTTTGATGTAGTTGACCCAAACTGAAAACCCCAGTGGAGCTAATGGCTTTAATGAGAAGAAATACTTTAATGTATTTTGATTGGCTATGTTTCAATAAGGTTGTCTTGCACGCAGATTCTCCAACAACTTTCATATTTTCATGTGCTATGTTAACCTTTACTGATAAAAGAAACAATAAGATGAAGGTATTCCTTTGTTCACTATGTCTGTGATGAATTAGTTTGGCAGCTGTTAATACCAATTAGATCTGATATGCATATGACCTCTGACCTTCAGTAGTGACCTCTGTCGACCTTATTGTTATCTGATGATATGTATATAAATCTGTTGTATGTTCTGACAGTTACACAAGGAGGTAATTTCTAACAGACAGAGTAATTAAACACGCTACCATATTGCTCCTCTTAAGTAAAATATAGGCCAGGTACACCCACCTGATTGTAATTCCAACCCCCCCTCCCCCCTCCCTCCAGGGGGCTGGATTATCATTGAGGTTAACACAATTGAAAAACAGCACACCAATTATCTGATATTCATTCCTTTTGCTCAGTTTAGAAACTAAATCAAAAACCCTTCAAAATGTTTTCAAATATTTATTCAAACCAGATTCTGAAATAATCTTGATATTGATGAACCATCTGTTACGTCGATCTAATGTGTTCAGTATTATGTGCCTTACTGCTGGAGACCAGTACAGTTGAACCTGAATTCTCAAGTGGTCTTAACCACCTATTTTTATGTGACTGTGTTGGCCTGAGCCAGCCTAGTGTTTGTAATTAAGTTAGCATATTAAATATGTATGCCAAGGTTAGGAGATTCAGTTTGTTTGTCTTTGTATTAGGATGTAACAGGAAAAAGATATGGTTTTTGACATTAATGTCAATGAAATGATGACTTGCATGTATCTTATTGTATTAAGCGATTGTCCGAGGGCGGTGTCTCCTGGGCCGACTCAGACAGGAAGTGACGTCGATTGTTACTACAAGTCCCTTTATCAGACATATAATTCATCATAGTTATTTTTGTGACAAGATGCAGAATATTGAAATAGAAATAATCAATTATGGATGTCAAAACCAAATGATGTGAGGCTCTTAATGAGTTGAATTTTATGTCTGAAAAACTCTTTGAAAATAAGTGTATACCCATTCCTAGATACCCCCCCTCCCCTCTTCCCCATCGACCTGACCCTCTGTATCCATCCCCACCCACATTGATCTATGCAGACAAGCCCCTCCCACCCATCCACCCACTATCCTACAATATGCACTTGTTTATAGTAAGGTGGTGTATACGATTGTTGTAACAACATTTTAAGGATCCTGAGCAGGCATGAAATCAGATTTTATTGACTCGCTGTTTCAATCAGTGCTCAATGAAATTCTTTATACATAAACATGGGGTTTAATATAAATTCTTTGCACCCCTTTACGTTGACAGACTACCTGCTAAGTTTGTATGCAGGGCTGTTATTACTTGTGAAAAGATGTTTTGTGCTCTCAAATATTGAGTTTTAAACAAGGCGAGTTCATTTTAATTAATTATCTGGCTTTTAAGCTCACACATTTTGCTGTCAGCGTGAGAGTACTACAAATGGTAATATGAAATGTTTGTACTGAATGGCTGAACTTCCTTCAATGGAGCAATATTAGCTAATACCAGCAGGATGTATGAGGATGGAATTGTTGCTGTAGCCACAAAAATGAAAGGTCTCATGGCCTTGCTTCATTATGAGGCGGATGTAGAAGGTGGGAGACAGTTCCCAAAGCATAGTCTCCAAGTCTGTGTTTAAATGAAAAAGGAATATATGTGGGACTCAACAATGGGCTGTGTTTTCTGTCATTGAGGTGTCTGATAAGAAGGAGATGGAGGAAAGACAACATTACCCGATCAGATACAGAAAATGATGGAATAAATAGTGTTTTATGATGTGGGCAAGTCTATACCAGTCAATAACTACCTCCCCACGGTATCATAGCATCTCTATCAATGACTCAATACTTACTACAGCAGCTGAGCCACACACTCTGTGATAGCATTGTCCCACTTTATATCTGCTCAATCTCTGATCTATTGCTAGATTCCTGTCATAAAACTGTTTATCATAGATGGAACAGAAATCCAACAAAAAGATGAAATCTTGTAGGGCTATACGATATCACATTATCTCAGGCTTGACACTTCACACACGACTGTATATAATGGATGTGACATCATCTTTGGTGTTAATTTTTCACTTTCAGAAACAAATATGTTTTAATCGCTTTAGCCTTTATTGTGTAGTAGTAACGGAAACTCATTATCTAGTGGCAGGGAACCTTTCATTGGCAGTTGTAGCAGGTGCATTTTATTTATCGTTAGTAAAAGTCTCATTCATTGGTAGTAGTAACAAGTACACTTTAATTGGTAGTAGTAACAGGTACTCTTTAATTGATAGTAGTAACAGGTACTCTTTCATTGGTAGTAGTAACAGGTACTCTTTAATTGGTAGTAGTAACATGGCCACTTTAATTGGTAGTAGTAACATGGCCACTTTAATTGGTAGTAGTAACAGGTACTCTTTAATTGGTAGTAGTAACAGGTACTCTTTAATTGGTAGTAGTAACAGATACACTTTAATTGGTAGTTGTAACAGATACACTTTAATTGGTAGTTGTAACAGGTACACTTTAATTGGTAGTAGTAACAGGTACACTCTAATTGGTAGTAGTAACAGGTACTCTTTAATTGGTAGTAGTAACAGATACACTTTAATTGGTAGTAGTAACAGATACACTTTATTTGGTAGTAGTAACAGATACACTTTAATTGGTAGTAGTAACAGGTACACTTTAATTGGTAATAGTAACAAGTACACTTTAATTGGTAGTAGTCACAAGTACACTTTAATTGGTAGTAGTAACAGATACACTTTAATTGATAGTAGTAACAGGTACTCTTTAATTGGTAGTAGTAACAGGTACTCTTTAATTGGTAGTAGTAACAGGTACACTTTAATTGGTAGTAGTAATATAGACTCTTTGCTTAGTCATAGTTACGATCAATTGGTTGTAGCAACATAGACCTATTAACTGAAGAGATGATTAGTGGTGACCACATGTTAATTAGTTGTAGGTTTGTAGTTAACAAGGATTTTCCATTTTGACAGCAGTTTCAGCCATTGATTTATTTCTCTAGACATTGATGGGTGTGTAGAAATCAAATCATTCTTCCAATATACCTGCTTTTTATGTGGTAGAGTATGTAGGAGATATTTTAACTGTAAGGAGCCGATTTATAGATATTACATGACGTTTAAATACTCTTTCTAGCCATAGTTGTTTCTCCTTTGTCATCTTACCCACAAACGTGTCATTTGTAAACATATCGGAAGGAGAAAAAACAGAATCCTTATTTACAGTGGTGTAGGGTTCACACGCGAATATTTGCTCAACAGACAAAGACAACAAGCGAGGACAGAAGAATGTCTTTATTAAGTGCTTAATAGTTTTATATCAAACCAATTAACTGGACGACTGAGGCTGGACTCTATTGAGCTAAGCTTTAATAAAAAGCCAATCTGTTCACCTTATTAACGCAAGAATATAGTGTTAAGTAGGTAATAAGAAACGCATATTGTTGAAATACATCGATGAAAATAAGGCAGGTTTCATTCATACATTAGCATGATGTACTTTAAACATTAACAGTTTCTCAATTAGAACTCAAGTTCAGAGTAAACAGTACTGAAGACCTTTCAGAAGATATGTACCAGATATGTGAAAGGGTTGTCGACTCCTAATCCTTGTCTTTCTGTCTTTCTATTACCGTATCTTACTGAAGAAATAGATCATCTGCTTTATGAAGCTGCCATCATCCAAGATGTCATGTATGATCCTAGTATGTATTGAATTTTAGAAAGTTAAAAAACAAAAACGTATACGATATAGGTATTTTGAGTGAGGAACCTGCAAGCATTATACACGTGGACTTTTAAACCTGTGAATTTGAGAATTTGACAATAACTGGATTATACAACATGTCTTGTCTTTATGTTCTACTCATACTTTTAATATTTACACAGAGATTTTTTTTGCTTCATATTGTATATATAAACATCAGTATACTATTGTAGGTGTGAAAACTTGTAGGGGGTATTTTTGTCTAAACAGTGTTCCAGTAGTTATTTGCTACCAATGGGAATAAATGCTCGAGTTCATTAATTGACTTCAACTGAAGTGGTGAAATGGATGATGTAGCCTTTCACACACTTGTTTTGTAGCTGATATCAACAAGTGGTTTAAGGTGAAATATCAGCACCCCAAATCCTTCATGTGGAGTTAACGACTAAAATAAGCACTTGTTTATTTCACTTTTAGATCTGTAATTAAAACTTACAAGATTCCAAATATAGAGATAAAACACACCAATAAAGTTTGTGTGTATAAATCTGAATCAAAATTTGGTTTTGTAGGAGGTGATTCTACATCGATCATCAAACAGTGAGAAGCTGGGTCTGACGTTGTGTTACGGTTCTGTGGAGGAAGGCATGACGGACATTTTCATCAGTGAGGTAAGTTTTCTTTTGTTACCTACTACAGACGGTACAGCAATAATGATGCTGTTTCATATCTAACATGTTAAGAGGATTCAATAGGAATGATGAAAATCATTTTCTATATATATTATGATTAGTTCTTGTCTCTATGAATGTGAAATTGTGTTCATGTAGAATGCATTTTTCAAATAAGGGCAACCTCATTGAATATCACAAATGTATTTAGAATGATATGTAGTATGAGTATCAGTATGGTATCTGGTATTTTGTTGAAGGTATTGATTCCCAGTGTTACATACAATTAAATTTGACATGAGAATGAGATACAAACGGGAGATGTTTTACTTGGAGCTGGCCATTAATGGTAGAATATGTTGTGTATAAATTTCCTCGTTAAGGGTCTATACAGTCCTATTACACAACACTTCTACTCTTGGTTAACAGAGTGCTTGGATAACTGCCATACAGTTCTCCCTCTGATAAACCTGAAAATGACAGTGATTATCTGCCCTTGGTTTTGTCTGAAGTTTATCTGCCCCCCCTGGTGTTACCTACAATTTATCAACTCAATGGCGTATTGCTTTCTACTCTAATCTCAAAATTTTACTTGAATCAAAAAGACGTTATCTAAAATGTATCGACATATCATTTGAAACAAGAATTTTCACTTTGAATTAGAAGAAAGCTGTTCACAATGGTATTCTGGCATTTTTTCAGGTTTACTCTTTAGAAGTTCTTAGTTTACATTTTTCACTGCATTAATACCAAGAGTTTTGAACGAAGGATAAACATCATAATACATAATAGATAGAGAAGCACTTTATCAGGTCTTATGGTGGAGATTTCCCTGTACCTTGTGTGGATACACAGGGGTGTGTGTGGTCCGAGTGACAAAGGAGTACTAACTTGTAGAGATTCATATACAGGATAAAAAATGAGAAATGACTTGATATGAGAGAAAGTCCTCAATATGGTGAGAGTGGAGATAACAGCTCCAAGTTTGAGACTCCAGGGATAGTTTACTGATTTACTGTGAAAATTGGGATAAAAATTATGTTTTAAATTAAAGCTCTAAGAGGATGTATGGAAAAGGCATTGCCAGAAAAGTTTTTAATTAATTGCTGTTTAACCTCAGTTATATTCTTATCTTTCAATGCTTTTAGATGAGACCAGGCTCAGATATTGAAAGCAAAAATAAGCAATGGAAATCATTTGAGAAATTTGAATTGAAAGATTTTTACAGTGAGGAAAGACAGTTTGATGAATAAACCACATGGAACGTTGCAATATTTTTACTTCAGAACAGGAGTTTATTTGTATCTCCATGGAGATTAAGGCGCGCTTGTTTGACACTTGAGAATAGAAATGTTGGCATCCCCTGATGAACATGTTACACAGGCTGTTGTGTATTATGGTTAACCGTTTTGTTTGTTTGAATATGTAAGAATTTAAGATAGAATTCAGCCTTCCAGAGACATTTTGGTTTCTTTTTCTTGCTAGGCTTGAAGTTTGACAGACTGTTGAAATAACATGTATTCGGAAGTCAGATTTTGGTGAAAATCATCGATGGCACACTATTTAGCTCGATAGTAGAACCACCATTTTTACATCAGATGTTTTTTTTCTTTGGTCTCCAGGGTTACCACCAGTAGAATCCAATTATTATAGGTATGAGTAGTATTAATCCAAGAAAAAAAGACATGACTGGTTATAAGCCCACCCATAAATGTTGCTATTTAGCACAAATATGTATACGTAGGTATTACCTACCTTAGAATGCCTTAAGAAAGAAGTGAGTACCGTACTCATAGCAAGTCTTGATATTTATCAGTACAGCTTACATGATGAGGATGTAATAATATTTGTATTGTAAGAGAAGGTCTTAAGAAAATTACTTTTGTTGTGATAAACTTTTTTCAATTTACAAGGATTTTTATGAATATATGATATTAAAGGAATCAGTCAACTTTCGAAAGCCTAAACAAGCCCAGTCAGTCAACTTTCGAAAGCCTAAACAAGCCTGGTCAGGCAACTTTCAAAAGTCTATACAAGCCCGGTCAGTCAACTTTCAAAAGTCTATACAGGCCCGGTCAGTCAACTTTCGAAAGTCTATACAGGCCCGGTCAGGCAACTTTCGAAGTGATACAAGCCCGGTCAGGCAACTTTCGAAAGCCTATACAAGCCCGATCAGGCAACTTGCGAAAGTCTAACAAGCCCGGTCAGGCAACTTTCAAAAGTCTATACAGGCCCGGTCAGTTAACTTTCAAAAGCCTATACAAGCCCGGTCAGTCAACTTTCAAAAGTCTATACAGGCCCGGTCAGTCAACTTTCAAAAGTCTATACAGGCCCGGTCAGTCAACTTTCAAAAGTCTATACAGGCCCGGTCAGGCAACTTTCGAAGTGATACAAGCCCAGTCAGGCAACTTTCAAAAGCCTATACAAGCCCGGTCAGGCAACTTTCGAAAGCCTATACAAGCCCTCTTCTTGTGATAACCATACTTGATGTGAAATTGAAGTTGATGAAAGTTTGTCATACAAAACTGAGGGTATAAGAGGGTGATAAGAAAAGTACATGCTGCTGCATGCTTTTTCCCTCTCTATCGTAAATCCTGCTGCTTTCCATTAATAATTATTTCCATATGATGCTAAGATAAGACAAAAAAAGATGTAGAAGGAAGCGATATTTTGTGTAACTGTCACATACAGTGTTATCAGCTGCCAAGTATCTGGGTGCTGGCCTCTCTATCAGATAAGGAGTACAGAAGTGTTGATAACGAGCACCTCCGGCCACTAATGAGTGGGCCACTGGTGGCCAGTGGGGCACTGATAACAATGATTAATTAACACCTTTCACAGGTAGTAAATCTCAGGTGGGAGGCTACAGGTACCCTTAATGAGGATGGATGGTAGTATCAACCTATTTATTACAGGATTAATATCCATGTTAAAAAAATAAATAAAATGATATTCTTGTAGAGAAACATTGAATCGTACACAATCACTATGAAAATGACTTGAATGGATGGAAATTTCAACCAAGTGTTGTAAATGAATTTTGATGAAATCATTGATTAAGAATTGTATGGAGATATTGATCTTAGATCACTGACTCATTTGTCGTGTCGAGACAGAATCTTTTAAATACAACATTGGATAATGTAGAAATGGTGTACAACTCGTTACACTAATGGCAACCCTGTGATGCTGGTGATGAAGATTGAAGTATTGTCACTATGATAATTTGGGGGGTATTGATTCCATAATTCTCTCATATAATGTCTGAATGGTTAATGCGATGATTACCTTATATAGTAGTACATCTAATTGTGGACTGATACCTGTGTTAGTGACAAAAAACCATCCATGTGTTACTAGGCTTGTATATAGAATCTATTGTTCATCAATCTTATCCTTCACCTAGAAATGTATCTGTGTTGCCATTATTATGCAAATCAGGGCACTACTACCTGTTTGATATTTGAATCCATGAATTTTTATGAAAAGGAACAATCTGTTTTGATGGTTGAAGGTCATCAAAATAAGAGGGGTGAGATATGAAAGTGACCACCCAGTCAGCTAGTGATATGTGTACATTAACAGACATTCTTCAACACAGGAATGGACCAGGCTATCTGTCTCTGTAGGTAATCCTGGGTTTCAGCAGGAAGTCAAGAGACATAAATAGATTTATCTCGACAGAAATTGCTTTACACCTAAATTTAACTCTCCTGTATATACTTGAAAATGAGTCTTGGTATATAATCGTTTTTTAAACCAAACTTGTTCCTATAAGCCTTTATAATTTTGTGTTTAGTTTCGCATTCTTCAATTTCTTAAAATAGCACTTGTAACGTTAACAAAATGATGGTCTTGTTTATATTTCCAAGTTTACTTCCATGTAAGTATGCCCTTACATAACCCAAGTTCAAAGATTTTTTTAGTAAACTGCTCTGCGACCAAGATTAGAGACAGATTATGTGTTCTCTGTAGTGAAAGGTTCTGAAGGTTGGCATGGAAGCATGGCTCATCTTGTAGTAACAGGTCTGGTGTTATTTTACCATTAAAACCAACTTTACACACCAGTTTAAACAATAAACAACCATAAAACACAGGTTAGACTCGGAGAATTGATTAATAGGGGACACGATCATGCAGTTTTTTACATAATATCATTTTGCTATAAAGTTGTCTGGGTGTATTGGGTTTCCATCGACCTCGTACATCATTTCTGATGAATACTGTGTGTACTGTTCTAGCTTGTCATCTAGACGTGGGCCATTACAACAAAAACAATGTTCTGTCACACACTGCCTTTGAAGTTGTTTCCCCAAAATATGACCTAGTAGCTTTTAACCCATCTTCTGAACTTAATGGAACTTTGATGTGGGGGTATAAAGTTTGAATTAATTTGAATTTTAAACAATCTTGTCTATAAAGGAACAATGCAGTTTGACACAGAATTTTTAGATTGTGGCCTTTGATCCTAACACTCCCTCTTTATTTTCCTGCCTGTACAAAATTAATTGGTTATTTCGGTAGTGTTTGTGGCTGTCAATCTGGGCTCCTTTTTTTTGTTTATTGTTTTTTAAGAATGGGGAATGGAGGGTGGAGGAGGCAGACAGGGGTTCGGGGAGAGATGTCAGATGTTAGACACTCGGGCCAGGTCTCCGAGGCTGGGGATTGGGTGGGTCGACTAAGGGGTGGGGTTGGGGGATGTTAAAATGTCTGATGCTCCGGCCAAGTGATAGGGATGGAATTATGAGAGAGCTGGTACTGAAGTAGACATTGTGATGTACTTTATGTAATACTGTTAGGCTAACGATAATTTAGCGTGATTGTTTCAGCAAATCATTGTTTGAGCAGTAAGTGAGTCCGAGGTCCCTGGTTTGAATCCTGATGGAGGCTTCAAATCAATAATGAATCTGTTACATGTCTTTATTACATCTCCATGCATTTGTGATGCTGTTTAAACTGTATGATGAAATAATTGAACATTCAGGCAATAGTTAATCTTG